AAATTTAATGTTTTTCAAGCAACTTAACAAAAATAAAACATACAGTATGGTAAATGGCCTGTACTTATATAGCGCTTTTTCAAGTCTGGAGACTTGACCAAAGCGCTTACACTACATTCAGTCACTCACACAATCATGCACACACATGGTGGCAAGCTACATTGTAGCCACAGCTGCTCTGGCGCACACTGACAAGGACACAACAACACAGAAAGTCGGAGCCGGGGCTTGACTTGCGATCATTCGATTTTAGGGCAAACTCCTACATCAGATGCCACTATCCTAGCAGGACCATATGATCCCAGGAGTTTTGCTTTTAAAAACATAAACCATGCAAGTAAAATCATTACAGCCCTGAGTAAGTTAAGAATATGATTAAGTTGATCAAAGGCAGCAGCTGTCGGTCAAAGTTGAAATAATGCGCAGAGCTTCTTTACTTTCCAGCTTCTAACCAACAATGATAAAGTCTTTGTTACTGCGTATAGTGTGCAAATATCAGAAACATTTAGCCTTTAGTGAGTTCTTCTTTTGTAATAACACTCATTGAATCAGTGCCTCTGCACCATCGTCTCTCCTCTGTGCTTATGCTGAAGTTGCGCATAGCTGTTGCCTGCCCCACATGCTCTTACAACAGGACAACTGTAGTCCTTATTTATACCGTACATGTAATAAATAATTAATCTGTTTAAAAGGCAGTAATGACCAACACATTACTGACTTTTAATAAGTAATTACTTACAGCGCTAGTTACTGAAAAAGTAACACAGTTGCTGTAACGCATTACTTACCGTGTTAATCCCAACACTGTTGAAATCTAAAAGCCCTGAAATCACCAACACATGGACTTATGGATAACACTACACAATATCTGCAGATGTTTGCATGCAAAAAAAGAAACAACTTTGGTATTTCATGCAAGGCAGGTCTCCTGCAAGTGTGCAGAACTGGTAGCCAGTAAAAGATACGCCACCAGCTTAATGGTTTGCACACATTCATATTGGTATTGTGGGTGTAGGGGTGAGGTGTTGTCCCTGTCTGCTTTACTTCAGCAGCACCACTGGAGGAGCCACAGTGCACTGCTGTGTAACCACATCAAGAACAGAGAGATATTCAAAGTGCCATAGAATGGGCCAATGATTTACTGAACACATATGCTGCTGGAACAAACACAGAAGTGAAAGAATGCTCGCCCAATCCAAAGCCACATGGCTTAACACCACATCTCAGCACTTTTTCAAAGCAAGAGCTTCCATGCTTTGCTTAATGCATCAAACACAAGCTTGAAAACCAAAGTAAACAAACCCAGAAGGAAAATTCTCCAAATTAAACATATTTCTTTACAGTTTCGTCATAAACTGAAGGCGTTGTTTCTAAATAAAACAAGCATTGTCCTGTCGTTGCAAAATCAAGGTTTGAATATAAACCATAATCTGAAACAGGCATTTACAATACAACATATAACTTAGTTAGAGCCTAAAAAGACATCACTTGTGTTTCCATTTTACCTCCTACTTCTTACCAAAAACCTTATCCCAGAAGGAATGGGCCGGTTACTAGTATCAAGGTGTTTTAAGAGTTTATATAGGGAATTAGAGGTTTTACCTTGTGTTTACTCTTATCTCTCGACTTTGGTTTTAAATTGATTGTGTCTCTGATTATATTTTTGTATGTTTTCCATCTATATGCAAGGCACTTTTTTCTATAAGGGACAACACTAAGAAGTAGAAAGCATACAGGAGAATGTAGATCGAGTAGCTCCAGTAGTGTTAAGGAATTCTCTTTTAAAAAATGCTAAATCACCACACAACTATAATGGGATCTAAGAATAGCAGCTGGTTAATGGCAGCTGATTAAAGGCACCAACTTTTACAATTCCAGGGGATCAGTTATTCCCCAAGCTGACCCCCGATATTGGGTACCACATCATTTAATGTGACAAATAATATTGTGGCTTAATTGAAAGTTGTCAACCCTGACATTGGCTAACAATGCTAAGTGAGGTGCTTCAAGATGAACTCCTGGATGATGGGGAAAAAACACAAAGAAATCCGTACATCCAAGTCAACCCATATAAATTAGCCTTTCCAGTCTGGTTTTCCCCCCTCCCATAGTGATCAAACTGCCCAAATAAAAATCACAAAGGATTTTCTCATAGCTGCTGATTCTGGACTCCTCTCCATCCTCATCCTCCTCGATCTTAGAGCATGCTTTGATAGATTTCACCCTCCATTCTCCTCACTAGATTATCCTCTCTTGGCATCTCTCACATCCCTTTTGACTGGTATGAAATTTATATCTCTTCTACCACACTCATTTTATGGCAATATTTTCTGCAAATTCAACATTTAATTTTCACTGTTACGCAGATGACACCCTGCTCTATTTATCCAAACAAACCCACCTCCTTAATAAAACACTGCTCCCATATAGCAATGTGGAAAGAGTACCTTCTTTAATGTAAAGAGTTTCTCTAACATCTCTAGTTAAATGTGGAGTATCTCAAAGTTCTATTTTACGGCTGCTTTTAATAATCACTTCTAACGCCACCTTAGAATATTTCATTAAATTATCATTGTTATTGTTTGTTATGTAGTGGGATTTTTTTTTTTTTTTTTTTGCATTGGAATTTGTTAATCACTGTCCTTTTGTACTCCCCAGAGGGGGCTTTTAAGTTTCCTTGTATAAGACTGGTGCTTTATGACTAAACTTGGCTTTTCCTGCCTTTCAGTGGATCAGAAAACTCTGAGTTTTCTAATTTTCTTGTTTTATTCAGTGAAGCCTTTTGTTGTTTATCCCACTGCACAAACATGAAAGTCCATTCTAAATAAATTCATGGACCTGTAAATTTATGAACAGTACTGTAGACAGACCTTGAATAGTGTGTACTATTTTTGGGGGGTTTTTTTAGCATGAAAGCATGTGCAGGTAAACCAAGTCATACTGATCATACAGAATTCACAACATTTTATTGCTTTGTTCCCATGTCTATGGCCTTAAAAATGCATACATTCATACAACCTTAGCAAACTTTTGTATTTTCAAATCTAAAACATCATTGCTTATATTCCTGATGAGATGTATTAATGCCTCAGAAGTAGAATACATGTGTTCTGTTATTAAATTTAAAACCAGGAAATCATTTTAGATAACAAAAGAGTAGACAAAATAATCTCAGTTTTGCAACAGGTAACATACAGGTAACATACAATGTATTATAAAGATGACAAATTGTGTGTGTAATTGTGCAAGGTCAATGTCCTTTCCACCTGTTGTTACAAAACACAGCTGCCAATTCAGTTTGTAGCCAAAGCACTTAGTTAGCCCCTTGTGTTGCTGCTGCCATGGCCACTAAGTGCTGCCTTTTCTCAGCCACCCCCCCCCCCCCAAAACCAGAATTAATCCCAACCCTGACACCCTTCCCACAGCAGAAACGCTGTAGCTCTTGTTCACCCAGATGCTTAACAACAAAAAAGAAAGACAATATAAAAACACCCTGACAGTCTCTGCCTAATGTGCAATTAGGCATGTAAAGACAGTGAAACTGGGTTTGTTGGCTGAGAAGAAAAGGTGATGAACAAATCATCCAGAATCAGATGAAAAGATAAGAAAGAAAATGTGTCAAAACAAATCACTTTGCAAGATGACGTAGCCACTAGTCCACGAAACCTGTAGAGGCAGGCCAAGCATAGACCTGTCCTTATGCTGGACCTCTAGTCATTACTACAAAGTGACTCTAATAGCTGTAATTAACAACCACTTAACTACAACAACCCATAATACCCCCTGACTCATTCTAGGGATTTCAACCTTTAAAATACCCAACAGAACACAGAAAATTGAGCATTTATGGAAAGATGTTACACCCCCCCCCCCTATTCACATGTAGACAGATACTCTGACTGCTGAATGCAGTCAGAGCAGGATTCAAATATATATAGGATTGGTTGCTAAAAATACATCACAACAACTGTTAAATATGCAAAGATAATAGGCAAGCTAAAGATAAAAAGCTAAAGTAAAAATGACTATATTTAATAATTTAGATAAAAATAATGATGGAAGGATGGAAATAAGGAAACAAGCAGAAAGAAAGAAGACAGGGGGATGAGGGAACAACAAAATATAAATAGTTTACTTCTCTGGCCTATTTTGGTGCAGGAGCAGGAATTTGAAAGTTGAAGTGATTGAAACCAAAGTCACACACTTTAAATTGTATAAAAAAGTAATAAAACAAGAATAAGAGAGGATGTATATGAGTGTGTGCATGTTTTTTATTAGTAAGAGATAAACAAGAGCAGAACATGAAAACAAAGGAAATGGGAAAGTATTCAAGATAGGTAAGATGGACCATGAAAGAGTAAATGAATAAACCCTGGAAGTAAAAGCATTTTTGCATACCCCTAATTATTTTTTAACATGTTTTTACCAAGCTGAAAAATTGTGAAATCAATTTCTGTAATTCGCTAAACTATTCTTGAACCCTGTGGTTCTCAATTTTGGAATCTCACCATAGAATCATGGAAGGTATTCAGGCAGAAATTTTCACACTGAACTGGAAGAATCACATACTGTATATACAGCATCTAGCACATATAATTGAGCTAAATGCTTCAATAAAACATTGTGGATTATTAAAAGGATCTATGTCTTATTAGAGCAAATAGTATAGGATTAAAGTATTTAACTTGACACATGATGCTGCTTTGCACCAAGTCAGATAACAATTTTTTTCTACCAGGGCCTCACAATCATCACTTACTTTTGTTAATTGTCGTGGTGTTATATAAATTAAGTTTGAGGGTTGTTTTTACTCATCTGGTGTTTGGAATTACACAACCACACAGGAAAACATGAATCAGCTGATTTAGTTTTATCCAAAATTTTGATTTTTTTTTTTTTTTAGGTTCATGAAGTACATCATTAATAACTCTTACAGAGTCTGGTGAACTTTTCCAGTAAGAGACATAGTTATTTTTAGTGTCTTTTAGCTTTTAACTTACTGCATCCTCTGGTTTGTGGCCGCCACCGGGGAGAGGCTCTTCTGAAAGGTGATCTCTACGGATAAGAGTATATTCCCTGATGAAGACAGCGTCACCATCATTGGCCCACACAGCAACCTAAAATAGTCACAAAAGTAGGGTTATGGAAATATAGTTCCTTTCACAAAAACTGGCATTTTAATTATTTATATATAGAAACAATAACATGCTGGATAAAATGTTGAAGTTAATCAAACTTTTGAATTTAAACACATGAGCATACATATATAAAAAAAAAGTCTATCAGATTTCCACACAATGAATCCGATGACGCATGCAACTCTGGCAACAGCCCCTTCCTTGTGAGTTTAATGGTAGTTATACATATGAAAGCAGATCCTAAAAAAAAAAAAAGCTGTAGGTTAACTTTTGGAGAAAAAAAAGAGAATAATTTTAACCCCAGGGAAAAAAGATTCAACACCTAATGGCAGACAATACACTATATTGCCAAAAGTATTTGCTCACCTGCCTTGACTCACATATGAGCTTAAGTGACATCCCGTTCCTAATCCATAGGGTTCAATATGACGTCGGTCCACCCTTTGCAGCTAGAACAGCTTCAACTCTTCTGGGAAGGCTGTCCACAAGGTTTAGGAGTGTGTTTATGGGAATTTTTGACCATTCTTCCAGAAGCGCATTTGTGAGGTCGCACACTGATGTTGGACGAGAAGGCCTGGCTCTCAGTCTCCGCTCTAATTCATCCCAAAGGTGTTCTATCGGGTTGAGGTCAGGACTCTGTGCAGGCCAGTCAAGTTCATCCACACCAGACTCTGTCATCCATGTCTTTATGGACCTTGCTTTGTGCACTGGTGCACAGTCATGTTGGAAGAGGAAGGGGCCAGCTCCAAACTGTTCCCACAAAGTTGGGAGCATGGAATTGTCCAAAATGTCTTGGTATGCTGAAGCATTCAGAGTTCCTTTCACTGGACCTAAGGGGCCAAGCCCAGCTCCTGAAAAACAACCTCACACCATAATCCCCCCTCCACCAAACTTTACACTTGGCACAATGCAGTCAGACAAGTACCGTTCTCCTGGCAACCGCCAAACCCAGACCCGTCCATCAGATTGCCAGATGGAGAAGCGCGATTCGTCACTCCAGAGAACGCGTCTCCACTGCTCTAGAGTCCAGTGGCGGCGTGCTTTACACCACCGCATCCGACGCTTTGCATTGCACTTGGTGATGTATGGCTTGGATGCAGCTGCTCGACCATGGAAACCCATTCCATGAAGCTCTCTGCGCACTGTTCTTGAGCTAATCTGAAGGCCACATGAAGTTTGGAGGTCTGTAGTGATTGACTCTGCAGAAAGTTGGCGACCTCTTCGCACTATGCGCGTCAGCATCCGCTGACCCCGCTCCGTCAGTTTACGTGGCCTACCACTTCGTGGCTGAGTTGCTGTCGTTCCCAAACACTTCCATTTTCTTATAATACAGCTGACAGTTGACTGTGGAATATTTAGGAGCGAGGAAATTTCACGACTGGATTTGTTGCACAGGTGGCATCCTATCACAGTTCCACGCTGGAATTCACTGAGCTCCTGAGAGCGACCCATTCTTTCACAAATGTTTGTAAAAACAGTCTGCATGCCTAGGTGCTTGAATTTATACACCTGTGGCCATGGAAGTGATTGGAACACCTGATTCCAATAATTTGGATTGGTGAGCAAATACTTTTGGCAATATAGTGTATCTATGATGACATGACATCTTTATAAATAGAAGTTGTGGAAGAAACACTGTGCTGATATTGTTGGACCCCAGTGCAGCATTCAATGCTATTAATCACTCCTTTTTTTTAGAGTGCCTGGAAAACTGGATTAATCTTCTGGTAAAGCACTGGACTGGTTTAAACCCTACATAAAGGACACAAAAATCACATGTGGCGTTTTCCAAGGGTGAAATCGTAGGGCCCCACCTATTCAATATCTACATTATTCCACTGACTAAAGTTTTAGGAAAAATTTCACCATAGCTATGCAGATGAAAAGGAGCTGTACATATAGCTATACACAACCATGTAAGAAAAATGCATTTAGTAACTGTAATTGCTGCTCCAACTAAAACTGATTTTAAGCAAAGCTTTGTACAATGTCCTACAAAATCCTTTTATGATTTCCTCAGTTAGCTGAATGACATATATATTTTCTTGTGATCAACCAGAAGAGCTGAAATAAACATAAAAAATACAAAAATGAAAAGGTCTTTAAATAGTAAGTTTTCCCCTCCTTAAACAGAAGATGAAAAAAGGTCAAACACCTCTTAATAAAGAACTACATTGCAGAGACCCAGTTCTGTAAAATATAAAGCTGTAGAACTTTATTCAGCAAAACTGCATTATTAAGAACAATCTGAGATATAGAGCTTCACGTTAATCCAACTATCAACCGATGTTTATTTAAATAGGAAAACTTGTATGTCAATTATAAGAAACAATGCAATATATCAGGTTTGAATAAAAAAAAGTCAAAAATTAGCAAGATGCATTTTTTGTTACATCCCAATATTAATAAAACGTGTAAATGTATTAGAGATTTTATTGCAGTGAAAACATCCCAATCTAAATATGTTTTTATATAACTTTATTTGGGTACATCCATTAAGTGGAGAACAAGTTTCACATTTAGAAATTATTTATTTTACGAAACAAATTGCAGCCAAAAAGGATGCTTCTGATAGACACTATTAAGCCAAAGTTTCATTACTATTTTAATGATTGATCAGCATTATCAGGATCTTTTAATTACTCATCCATAAATCCCATGGATATGTGTTTGACATGAATAAAAAACACAGATCCCTCAAAAAATGGGAAAAGAAAATGTGAAAAAAAGGCTAAAATGTATTAAAGCAAAACAGATGTATGTAATGCTTATAAATGACCACAAGAAAGTAATTATTCTCCCCAACCTGCCAAGATCTACACTCAGAGCAATGGACAAACAATAAAACAAGAGGAACTAAGTCAAGCTATTTATTTTCATTTTATAGATGACTTAAAAGTTTAAAAAAATAAATAAAAGTCAGTTAATTAGTTTTGGAGAAAGTTAGGTTGATAAAATGATGAACTGTAAAAGTTTTTAGCTCATTTACAGGAGGGGTGAACAACACCGCTAAAATTTTTATTTTTCTTCTTCAAATGATTTCTTTTCGATGTTTGGAGAAAAATATTTTTAATTTTAAAAAGCAAAATAAAGCTTTGCGTGTTTGGTCTGTGGTATTCCCTGCTCCTGCTTTATAGATTCTCAATCCATATGCAGAGCAAGAAATGTGATATCAGAACCCACTGAAATCCTCATCTTCAGAGATGGTTGGTGGGAAAGATCTTGCATAGATGGATAGCATAGATGGATAGGGCCCATTTGCAGCACAGCAGGCCCCGCATTCTCAATGATGCAAAAACTGACAGTGCAGGGCCTCTGAGCGTCTCTCCAATGGTTATAAACAACCTGCTAAAGCAAGCCTATAGTGTGCCTTTAGAGCATGCACTAAAGGAACATAAAACATAGCAGCTCTTCATATGGTAGATTTAACATTACAGAACAGAAACAGTGATGATAAGCAAGTCCTGCAAAATGAGACCCAAGCTATCCATGGGAACAAATCACAACACTCTTCGGAATAAGTCTTTAAATCTAGTCTTAAACTTTACAATCATCACTTCATAACTGCAGTGAATTAGAACACTGAGGCCTCTCCGACAGCATGCATGTGAGCACAAGCTGGAGGGAGCCTCAGTTGACACAAACTGTGATGTGTTGCAGATTAGGGGTGACCAGATGTGGCAGCTGTTGGACTACATGTAACCTTTCATCCAAAGCATTGCTGTTGATGAATAAAAGAAAACATTTTATATCAGATTATTTACAACTAATTACAGTCCAAGTAGACAGTGTGAATGTGGGGTCTGCAAATCAGAGAAGAATGGGAAAATCCACCTTATACTTGTGAGAATGTTGTGAAATCCACCAACGGAAGCTAAGTAAATGTTTTTTTCAAGCATGACTCAAAGGTCTCCAAACTGTGCCAAAGGAAAAAAAAAACTATAAGAGAAACTTCTTTTTTTTAATCAATGTGCAAACTACTACTGAATTATAGAATAAATCCCCAAAGATATTATAATATAATGTAATGTAATGTTAGTATAAAGTTTGTTTTCTTTGCCAAAGATGCTGAAAAGAAATATGTCACAAGCTTTGGTGACCAGATGTCTTTGCTCAAGGCTTAATTGAGTTTTGGGGGAAGTTAGCATAACCCAACTAAGAAAAGTTCTCATAACCCTTTTAGTGACTTGCAGAAATTAATCCGCCTCCTTGTTTCTTGAGATTAAATCTGTATTCCTAGAGAAATATACAAAAGATAGATATTAATGGAACTTAAATTGATTATTTTAAATGAGTCTTAAAATCTGAAGAGAACAAAAATCATAATCCCTTAAAAAAACAAGTTGACTGTTTGATGCCAAAGTCTAACATCCTGAATACTCCCCAATGGAACAGATATTGTTTGCTCATGCAAATGTGAGCAGAGCACATGCAAAACCTTCAGCTCTAGCTGCAGTCAAAGGATTTGGCCAAAACACAAAAATTTAAATCTAAATTACTTTGCAACGTCAGTATTTGTGGTTTCATGTCACATTAATTTAGATTACTAAAAGTGATCATCTGCATATGTACTGTTGCCCTTTGCAACAAAATTAAATGGTAATCTCATCAGCATATTCAGAGCACAAGTGAAGCTGTAAAAGAGTCCAGCTGGAATCACCTTATCAACTTTGTTATCAGATTGATTGCCAAAAGAGAAAATGAGGAACAAATGTGCTCAGACTCATTGTCATTCTATGTTAGCAGTGGTTACTTACAAAGGAAACCATGCACCCATCATAACCTCTTTTCAAAATGGTCTCACGTGTCAAGAAATGCTATGAACATCTGTAAAAAAAAAAAAAAAAATTCATTAGGAAAAGAAGAGGTCTGGTTGGACTAAACAAGACTTAAGAAAAGCCAAGCAAATCCAGCAAGGACTAGTATTGAGTCCATGAGGAGTCCAATAAAGAACCGTACTGCCAGCAAAGTTAATTCTA